GGAGACGGGGGCTCGTAGGGGAAGGGCGCTGAGCCGCGGGGGGGTGTGAGCTGGGGAGGCAAGAGGGGTAAAAAGGGCATTTTCGTCGGTGACAGGCGGTGGAAGGAGACTGCTCTTGTCAGGAAGTGGTGTCGCCTCCTCTGCTTCGTTTAAATCTTTTTTAAGAAACAATTATGCTTTCTGGTTGTGCCTTTCTGGTGCCAAGCTGTCTGCCTTTCCTTTACGTTGTGCCATTACCTAAGGCGGTGGATACTGTATTAGATGATATGTGGTATCACAGGAGAGAAGGCAAAAGGAGGAAGGTCTGGATACAAGGCATGGTTTAGAGTGGCTTGTCCCTGCTACAGATGCTTTTTAAGGAACAGTGATTCTTAAATGTCCATCCCTCTGAAAGGGGCCTACCCTTGACAAGTTCTGGTGTGCAGGAGAACTAGTGAACTGTCCTAATTTCTCCTGCATTAATTTTCAGGGGCCAAGTCAGGAATATGGCAACTCTAAAAGACAGTAAGTACTGGTTTTGTTTGCTTTTGAGAGAGAGAAAGTGCAGGAAAACCAGATGTTAAAATATACTATCGGGTAGCCTCTGTTGGATAAACTGGTCGTGATACACCACAACACAGCTACAGAGCCTCCAGCACTATGTGTGTTAAACACGTGTCTTTCAGGAAAGGCATTGCTTAAGATTATTGTAGCGTGGGGACCTTATCAACACTTATAAATATCTAAGGGCGGGTGTCGAGAGGACGGGGCCAGGCTCTTCTCAGTGGTGCCCAGTGACAGGACAAGGGGCTACGGGCACAAACTGGAGCACAGGAAGTTCTGCCTGAACATGAGGAAAAACTTCTTTACATTGAGGGTGACAGAGTCCTGGAACAGGCCGTCCAGGGAGGGTGTGGAGTCTCCTTCCCTGGAGACATTCAAAACCCGCCTGGACGCAGTGTTGTGTGACCTGCTGTAGGTGACCCTGCTTTAGCAGGGGGTTGGACTAGGTGATCTCCAGAGGTCCCTTCCAACCCCTGACACTCTGTGATTCTGTAATTTAGATGCCATTTCAGCAGACCAGTATAGTTTACTCAAACATAGCTTAGAAATAAATTTGTCATATGTGCAAGCCCAGATTTTTTGCTCACTTTTAAGAATTAATTTGTTTTCCATTCTGTTTATTTCCCTGTGTGTTATTCCTGGGGGAAAAAAGCTTGACTGAATGGTTCTGCTTTGATAATCCTTCTTTAAGCCATTCATTGTAGGTTCTTATACAGGGATATTTTCTTAGCATTGCGGTTATCTTTAGGACACCTGTTTGTTTTTTCTTTTCACAGCAGTATTTTTATGGATCTCGTTTTGCCATGATCTAAACACAGAAGGAAGTTTATTCTGTCCCATTATCATATTGAGTCTTCCCCCGCCCGCCCCTTGTTGTCTGGGAAAAGATGACAATATACCTCGAATGATATGTTTGTAAAACATGTAAAAGTGGAAGGAAAGGGCATAGTAAATAGATCTTCTGTTGGGCTAAATATTAAATAAATAGATATTATGTCTGGGGGGGAAAAAATGCCTGTGGTAAAGATGCATTTAGATTAGCCAGGTTACTACTCTTATTGCTTTCTTACCATAAATACTAAGGGTGTGGTTTTTGTGGGATTTATTTGTGCATTTTTTTTGTTTATTGTTTTTCTTCTTTGGGGAACTTGTCAAGATATTTTTGGATGGCTATTGCTAGTATTATATTGTTTGGTTTTGATGTCATTATGCCCAGTACAGCTCATGACCTTCAACTGTTAACCTTGTAGTTACCAGGCGCTTGAAGTCCATCAAGAACATTCAGAAAATTACAAAGTCCATGAAAATGGTTTCTGCAGCAAAATATGCCAGAGCTGAGAGGGAGCTGAAGCCTGCTAGAGTCTATGGAACAGGAGCACTGGGTGAGAGAAGGCGCTTGCACTGGGTGATGTGGGAGCAGAAGGCGGCGGCTTTCATGGTGGTGATAAAATGAATGAAAAACTGAAAAATTAATGAAAAACTGAGCCAGCAATGTGCACTCACAGCACAGAAGGTCAATCACATCCTGAGATTCAAAAGCAATATGGCCAGCAGGTCGAGGGAGGGGATTCTCCCCCTCTACTCTGCTCTGGTGAGACCCCACCTTGAGTGCTCTGCTCAGCTCTGGGGCCCCCAGCATAAGAAGGACATGGACCTGCTCGAGTGAGTCCAGAGGAGGCCACAAAGGTGCTCAGGGGTTGGAGCAGCTCCCCTGTGAGGACAGGCTGAGAGAATTGGGGTTGTTCAGCCTGGAGAAGAGTAGGCTCCGGGGAGACCTTATAGCGGCCTTCCAGTGCTGAAAGGAGCTGCAGGAAAGGTGGGGAGGGACTCTGGGTCAGGGAGCGCGGTGATGGGATGAAGGGTAACGGTTTCAAACTGAAAAAGGGCAGATTTAGGTTAGACACAAGGAAGACATTCTTCCCTGTGAGGGTGGTGAGGCAGTGGCACAGGCTGCCCAGAGAAGCTGTGGCTGCCCGGCTCAAGGCCAGGCTGGATGGGGCTGGGAGCAACCTGGTCTGGTGGGAGGTGTCCCTGCCCATGGCAGAGGGGTTGGAACTGGATGGTCTTTAAGGTCCCTTCCAACCCAAACCATCCTGTGGTTCTGTGAAATTACCAAGACTTTTTTAACGTTTTGATAGTTGGGTTGTTTGGTTGGTTTTTTTTTCCCAAAAGAATCTGCATCTCTAGGCCACCTTGACTAGTCCTTATAAGTAGTTCATGGAAAGTGATTGTTAAAGAGCTCTAATATGAAATTCATGATGATTCCTGATGACTTTTTTTTAACTTTGTGTGGTTGTTTTTGTTACTCACAAGAGCACCATAACTCAGATTTTTTGGCCTGCTTCTCTCTGCTCGTGGAGTTGTGTCCTGTCTCTGTAGCATCTACAGCTACTGCCAGAGGTCCCTGTGAACTCGGGCCGCTCGTGCTCCTGAGCAGAGGACTTGCACCATGACTGTAACTGCGTAACGACGCTGATGGCGTGATGCCTGACACGGAGACGCCACTGGCTTCGCGTTGTTTCTGTTGTCACCTCTGGTCAGATCACGTGCAAACTGGAGTGATTGTGAGGGAGATAAAATTGATCAGGCTGTGACTTGGGACCCCTTTAGAAATTTAGTGTTTTGCTATGACCCGTTTGCTCCTGGCACCCTTGAATAACTTAGCTTTTTTTTTTTTTTTTAGCTCTCTATGAGAAAGCAGAAATAAAGGCACCTGAGGACAAGAAGAAGCACCTCCTTATCGGTGTGTCCTCTGACCGAGGTCTGTGTGGTGCTATCCATACGTCTATTGCTAAAACCTTGAAGAGCGAGATTACCAACCTCTCCAATGCAGGGAAAGAAGTTATGGTGGTTGGAGTAGGTGACAAGATCAGAGGCCTACTTCAGAGGTAAAAAAAGAGAAGGGTTTGGGTTGGTGGTTTTGGTTGTTTTCTGTGGTTAAAATTTAAAGACAGCTTGGAAAACTGTGTGGCTTTCACAGGCAATTGTATTTAATGAAACTGCTAGATCCAAGTTCCTTTTTGAAAGAAAACACAACCTGCAAATGTGCTAGGGTGGCTTTTGATCTTCTGGACAGTTGTGAAACTGCTGCACGGCATCATTATGTTTTTGGAATACAAATCTGGAAGTTGCCAACACTTGCAGTGCTACAAGCGTGTCTTTATCCTGAAGCTATCTCAATAATTTAATTGGAAAAAAAGCAAACTTTATCTCAGACCCTAATTCAATAAAACGTGCTTCATTCTGAACACTAGTAAGTTACTGGACTCGTTGCCCCTTGGTGCCCCGTGGTCGTACATTAGAGCATCCACTCGTTCTGACACGGATTTGGTATTACTGCAGGACACATGGCAATTACTTGCTGCTGACCTTCAAAGAAGTGGGACGGAGACCTCCGAGCTTTGGAGATGCTTCAGTCATTGCCTCAGAGCTGTTAAACTCTGGGTTTGAATTTGATGAGGGCTCTGTCATCTACAATCGGTTCAGGTAAGATTAAATTGAAACCCCAGTGGAAAAATACCGGGTAGATGGCTGCAGAGAGCACATTGGCCCGATGAAGGAATACAAAAACTGCAAATTGTCATGGTTACTTTATTTCTCGAGGAGGTAGCGCATTTTGGTGTGTGTGAAGAGCTGTTGTTTGGGTTTTTTTTATAATAGCTGTGGTTGGAATTCCCTTTTTTTCTTGTTCGGTGTGTGCTGTCGTATTTAGTCAGCACGTCCTATCCACATGGTATCTGAGATCTCTCTCATTATCAGAAAACTTCGTGGAATTGGGAGGCCAGAAGTTTTCTATTCTAATTTGATTTTAAACACTCAATTTAGGCTCTTCAGTTCAGCTGACCCTATTATGTTATTTTTATACAGGTCTGTCATCTCCTACAAGACCGATGAAAAACCAATCTTCTCCCTTGAAACAGTTGCTGGTTCTGGTAAGTAGTGAATTAGAAACCACCAGTCACGTGAGGTGATAAAGCACAGGAAAAAGTACTTTGAGCGTGGGAACATGGTATTAAAACATCTTGCTATGGTGCATGTATCGTAAGTTTAAAAGATGATTTTATCTTGGCAGTCCAAGGCTGACCTGGCAAGGTGGTTAAAAAGAATGGTTGTACTAATCCTGATTTGAGATTCTCGAGCAAGAACTGTGCACATGCAGAACTCTGTCAGTGCCCGTGTTTTCAGCACTGAACGGCCTGGGTGTTGTGTGACTTGGCACTGCGCGGTAGAAATAACCCAGAATGTTTCTGGGTCCGGCCTTACCCCACATATTCATCAACGACCTGGATGAAGGGAC